GTACCTCCATTTAAAAAAATAAATAAACCAACACACATTACTATGCATAGAACAGGCGAATGGCAAGGACCTACTACCTAGCACAGGGAACTACATTCAATCTCTCGTAATAACATCTAATGGAAAAGAATCTGAAAAGAAAAAATATGTATGTATGTATATGCAGAACTGAATCACTTTGCTATGCACCTGAAACTAACACTGTAAATCAACTAGACTTCAATTAAAAATAAGTACATAAATAAACGAATAAATAAATAAATAAATGTAATTACCTACCCCCCAAAAAAACAAAAACAAAAAGAAAAAAATATGACAACATTTTCATATTCGGATTGAGTCTTCGTAAAAACTCTACCTGCTTAATATTTTATCAGAAGACAATGCACCACAATCTAATTGTTCTTTAAGCGAAAAGAGTCTAAGTGCACAGTCATTTTTCTCTCATGAATACTATTTCAACATCATTGTTCCCTATCATTTTTCCCTTTATTCCTTCGGGTAGATTTCCAGAAGTGGGATCCCTGGGGTTTTGCTAACTCACTTCCCCTTCTTCATAAGAAAAGACCCCTCCATTTGTCGATTCCTGCTTTATTCATTTGCTGAAACTGTTCTCTCGCCGCTCCCATCACGTCCACGTATCTGGATTCAGTGACCTCCATCCGAGGAGCCTTCATGAACTAAGTAGCCCACTAACCCCTTCTCCACGTTCCTGCCTGGAACACCGTGCCCCCCACCCCAGGCCTCTGCACGTAACTGCGGCAGTGGTGTGAGCTGACTGCACACCTTTCCAGCTGGTCACTGATTGTCTCCCATGGGCGTGCTTTCTCTCCCTGTACGAGCCGGGCCTCCTGAGCTATGGCGTGTGGCTTTTCCTCCCGCCTTGGCTGCGAGCTGTTCCTCCAGCAGGCACTCACGGTGAGCCTGCTCATGAGGACGTGAGGCTCCACCACCACCGATTCCACATACCCGCCCCGCCTTGGGCCTAAGTGCCTTCACCCATCGCTGATGCTCTCGGTCTAGGACACCCAGATACTCACGGCTGTGGTCCCGCAGGAATTGAACCAGATCACACTGCTGGAAATTTCAAGGAGACAGAAGACAGACATGAGCACAGTGATCTCCAAGGGGCCACATTTATTTCCCAGTGAACTGGTTGGATTATCTTTCATGATTAAAGACATACGTACAGAATACACGGGCTGCCCAGCCATGCCTTTAGCGCCCTAGGGAAACAGAAACAGAGCAAGTGACTGGTGTGTGAATTGGAGTCTCCAATGCTCTTTCCCCGACACACACCAAGAATGTAAAAAAAATTTTTTTAATTTGTTGCCATTTTATTTCCCAATCTCTCTGGAGTCCGCATTGTGAAGTCAGGAGGGCCCCAGCAGTGGTTTGGGAACCTCATCTATCAACTTGTCTCGCTCGACCGAACTTTGCTGGGACAACTTTACGAAGCCTATGCAATCCCACCCCATTTGCAAAACTTGAGTAAAAGAATACCAGCAACAGCTAATATTTGCTTTGAACTTGACAGTTTACAAAGAAAGTTCACCTTGATCTGATGTTCACGGCTGTCTTTTGAGGTGGTTAGAATGGGACACATCATCTCTGTCTTAGGGGGAAACTGAGACCCCGGGACTGGCCCACCAGCACTCAGACAGCAAGAAGCAGAGGCTGGCCTTGAACCCAGTGCTTCTGACTTTCAATTCTGTGCCTGCTCCCTTGAGAACCCAGTACCCACTGCTTAGTTCTCAGGAATGTACTTACTCTCTGTCCAGGTGGGCCCTGGCGTCCTGGAGAACCCTCTTCACCTTTCAGACCTACAGTGAGCTGCAGGGAGGAATAACCATCAGTTTCTACGTCACCTATCCATGGGGATTACCCCAGGTTTAATGAAACTTCATACTTAAAAAAAATAATAGCAACTGCTAATTTAAGTCAAGCAAATTCCTTACTTGTAAATAGTTATTCTTAATTATTGGTAAACATCTATTTCAAAAAACGCAAAGGTACCAGAGCACACAGAGATCTAACAAAAAATCTCCCATCTGCAAAGGATCAAATGAGAGAAGTAATTCCCCGCACACACAAGCACATGGGTGGCCGTATCATTCCCAGCGCCTCAATGTGAGAGATACGGATGCTAACGAAATGCTCCAGCCAGATGAAAAGCATCTGTTGAACTGCATCTCTTTCATGCTGGTAACGACCAGTGAGATTCCACTCAAACTTTGAAATGAAAGGCTGCTCCTCTCAGCATTTTGTTTTTCAATAAGTATAACACTCTTCTCTGCACTTAGCTAGTGGGAACATCTCCACAGCTTTCCTGAATATAAACATCCCGGACAATCTTGGCTCTCGGGAAGCATGTGAAATTGTCAGAGGAGGCTCTGGGACACGGTAGGAAGGTATCAGTTTCATTTTTGCTCACAGGGTTAATATTTCGGGCTTTAACCTGTGCTTTAGAAAAGAGTGGAAGACAGTGGCATTTCTTGGAAAAGCCAGTTACCAATCTATAAATATTTAAAATAGTGCAGATTTATGGAACCATAGAATTTTAGAGCTGAATGTGACCTTTGGTGTCATTAAGTTCAATTCCCATGTGACAGAAATACAGACCCTGAAAAGATGTATTGAAGATGGCACAGCTAGGAAGTGACCCTGGGTTGGACCGACAATCCACATTTATAATTACAACATAAAAGACGGAGTCTTCCAAAGAAATGTTTATTATTTCTGGAATTAAAGGCCACTTACCGGTAATCCTCTAAATCCTTTCGGTCCGGGCCCCCCAGGAATTCCAGGGTCCCCAACATCACCCTAAAGATTCAGATATAAAAAGCCAAGATGTTAAAATACTAGCTATGAAAGAATAAAAATGACTCTTTCCAAACCAAAACTTAATTGCTCTTGTAACTATATTACATATTAAACTTTAAGTGTCATCTCCTCCTGTTATCTGGAACTAAGTCACTGATACACTTAGATACTCTCCAAACTATTTCAATTTTCTAAGAATGCAAATATTGATGCATAAATATCAACGCCAGGGCTGTCCAATCAGTTACTAGAAACACCTAAAGGACGTATAAATCAAGGAAAACATATGGGGCACTCACTACATAAAATACTGTTGAATGAACTGCTTCCTAAATTCATGTATCATTCCTGAACAAGCTGAAGGTTAAAAAAAAAACAACAAAACTTTATTCTGACTCTGGTGGGAAACTAATTTCGCCCTTATCATCATGTCAATTTCACATTTATTCATAATTTGAAATATGCTAATTTTCTCTCTTTATCAGTAAATGAGAAAATTGGTCCTTTACAATGAGAGCTCCTATCCTAGCAGTCATTTATATGGTCCCTTTCTGCACCCTTCTCCACCTAAGGAAAGAAACTCTTTTGGTAACTCATTAATCAAAAGCACTTTTAAGGGGACTCAAGAATTGGCAATTTTCCTATGCTGTAGTTGATTTGATTTGCCTAGACATTCTATTTTTTTTTAACTCACATTTTCTATTTTAATTTGAGCATCAACTATGGGAAGATGCTCTTCTAGACAGGATTCTTTAAAAAAAGAAAAGAAAAGAAATCCTGTTAGAGAATTCCAGTGTAGAAACAGGTATAACGTGAGCTGCTCTGGTTGAAATGAGATGCATGTCTGGCTGTTGAGCAAGGAGATGGATTTTCACCTGGTGGGCAGTGAGGAATTCTGGAAGGTATTTGACCAGGAGAGTAACAGAATTAGACTACTTGGAAAAAAAAAATCAAGTGACAGTGGGGTTCGGGATTAACTGAAGCAGGGATAAGTTGGAAGTTGGAAATGGATAAGAATATAGTAATCTTTCAGGGAAGAGGAAGCAGAGGCCACGACAGTGAAGGCTAGGCCGAGAGTTGTGCATGAGGTCACCGAGGCAGAAAAATCAAGAAGAGGACAAAGGATCAAACTTGAGAGGATGCCTAGAGGTGCGACTGCAAGACAAGCGACATCAGGCAATGAAGTGCATCTTTTCCAATTTAAACCTTCACGGGAGTTAAGTATGGTCCTTTCTTCAAGAAGCTCAGGTGAAACAGCCGTCCTGATCCTTCCCCTACATTTCATTCAGACCCACAGACTTCTCTCAATTCTCAACCAGCAGGTCAAGAGCACAGTAATCTCAAAACACGTTCATGTGCACGATACCTTTTGCCCCATATCGCCAGGGAATCCTCTTGGGCCCTACGATTTTCAGCAGAGAACATAAGTAAATCAACACACCATTTCTGCCGTACAATCATGTCTTTTTGTACGATGTAAGCTGGATTCACCAATTAAATAACTAATTGTTTTCCATATTTACCTTTATTCCTTTTTGTCCCGTAGGACCGTAGCCTGGGATGCCGTAATCACCCTGTGAACATATTGGTTCATTTCAATTTCTCAAAAGTGAAAATTAATTGTACTCTCTATCATGGTGTCAGGAGAGAAGCACTGGGGACTTCCAGGTGGAGGGCGCCTGATTAATCAGTGACCTTCAACTCTGGGGACATGCACGTTGCTGGGTTTTCTGCACTTCCTGGGATGTGCCCCGGTACTCCTCTGGCCAGCTCTACTTTGGAGACATGGCAGGAGGCAGAGGGATGGTCATTTAGGACTAATGTAGTCAGTGGCAATTACTTGCTTGGAAAATTAGGAACTGGTCCAAAGAACACTGGGGGAGGAATTCCCCAAGGAAGAATTATAACTGGCCGATAAACATACAGAAAATTGTTATCCTCCCAAGTAACCAAAGAAATGCAATTTGACACAGTAATGAGTTGCCATTTTTTGTCAATAAGATTAGTAAAGATGGCAGGGGAAGCAAGAGACAATATCCCCTGTCAATGTGTGTGCCCTGAAAGCAATTCTCTCCTGCACAAAGCGTGAGTGCACGCGTCCTGTGAATTTCCCTAAGGGTCCTTCGCAACAGAGTTCAAAGCCTTCATTAAATATGTACATATTCCATGATCCAGCCATGTTGCTTCTAGAAATTTCCGTGTAGAAATGAATTATAGTCCAAAAATGTCATTGCATGCAAGAATGTTCATTGTCTTGCTATTTAGGGCAGTGAAAAACTGGAAGCAAAGTAAATACCCAACAATTAGAGATTAATCCAATGAACTAAGGCACATACGTTCAGTAGACTATTTTAAAGCTATTGAAAGTAACACCAAGGGGAAAATGTAACGACCTGGAAATACGCTCATGGTACGTTGTTCTGTTTGTAGGGAAAATGGAGTCATGTATTTTGTATCTCCAGGGCATTAATGATAAATATTTCCAAATGGTGGGATTATGGGTAATTTTTTTTCTTTTGCATTTGCCATCTTTTATGCGTAGTAAATTTTCTACAATATCTGTGTATAACATTTACAATAAACATTATTTTTGAAAAGAAAAATTTTTTTCCTTTACTGTGGACAAAGAAACTAAAACTTTTTCCTCTAACAGATACCCAATTTCTCAGCCCTCCTCCCCTCCTCCTGTCACTCTGGAGTTTTGTTTAGAGCCTTTTTTTTTTTTTTTAATTAATGGGGGTACTGGGGATTGAACCTAGGACCTGATGCAAGCTAACCATGTGCTCTACCACTGAGCTACACCCTCCTCCACTGGAGTTTTACAAGTGGAGAGAAACGGGCTGTGCTGATTTTCAATGGACATGGCCAAACCAGCTGTTAACATACACAAACACCCTGCCTGAATGCACACAGCATCCTCTGCACGCCCTCCTCCTCTCCCTCACTTTAGCAGGACGAGAGCTGCAGGGGCTGGGAGGAACAGCCCTACATCTTCCCAGGAGCTCCCCAAATGCCTTTGGTACCCCAGGTGCTCAAGCCCCCCTCTCAGAACTGAGCCCTCGGAGCAGCCAAAGGGTGAAAGTCCTCAAACCTTGCTCGTACCTGCTTTCCTCGAGGTCCGGCTTGCCCTGCTGGCCCCGGGTCTCCAGGAATTCCCGGCTCTCCCTAATGAGTGAGACGAGAGCCCCAGATCAGTAAAATCAGACCTGGCTCTGACCCCAGGATGCTCTGTCCACTGGCTGGGGACACTCAGGGTCCCCTGGGAGGGTTCAGTGCTCAGGAAGGAAAGGGGTGCAGGAAACCAGTCACCGCCTTCCCCAAGGTGAGCAGGAGACAGAAGCAGAGCCCATGGCTGGACCCAGCCCTGCTCTCCCAGCTGCAGGGAGACTGAAAGCGAAGGCAAAGAGTGGAGAATTTCCTGCAGGGACTGTGGGTTCATTCACAGATTTATTCACCCATCCAACCATTACTTACTGTCCTGGAAAGCGGACCTCACCCAGCAGTGTGGTTGGAAAGAGAGGCAACTAGACAGGTGACTCTACACTGTGTAATGAAGGGCAGGGTCACGGCAGCAGAGAGAGAGGGGCTGTGAGTCAGAGGATTTGGCAGGGATATGGGTTGGGGGGGGAGGGAGCAGGGATGCTGAGGCTGGAAGGATAATGATGATGATGATGATGATGATGTGTGTGTGTGTGTGTGTGTGTGTGTGTGCGCGCGCGCATGTGCTGGGAGAGGGTGGAGAGGGAGGGAGAAACATTCAGAAGGATGCCAGCACTAATGAGAAGCCTAGGGCAGACTCACTGGAGGGAGATGAGCCAAGAGGCCCTAGAATTAAATGGGGTCAAAGGGCTTTCTAAACTACCGTAATGTTTGGAGATTTTCCTCAGGGCCACCGGGAAGTTGAGAGCAGCTACACAATTTGTGGGACTGAAATGAAAGCACTGGCCCTTTACACAGATGTGAAGGGTTTCCGATGGTGACAGTACAGCATGAAGCCCAGCACGGAGCCTTCTAGGCAAGGCCCCTGTGTCACTGCACGGGCCCCCGGCCCACGAAGCTGGCCCTGGGAGAGGGAGATGCTGAAAAGTTTTGAACAGGGCAACGAGATTCTGAACAGGCCTGCTCTGTAACCATCTCCAACAGGGCTCCTTCAGGGAAGGGAGGCTGAGTTATATGTGGGAACTGCAGGCACAAACAGATCTGAATGCGGACACCTCACGGCCCTGGTCACCTCTGGCACCGGGTGCATTTGTGCATTCAGGAAACCAGGGAGTCGAGATTTTTCAGCGGTTTCCTGATCAGTAAGTAAGCTGTGTCTCTCCCAGTGAAATGGGGCAGCTTCACAGAGAGGTCAGCAGCTAGAAATTCTTTGCTCAATAGAAGGAAAATAATGTATTTGGCAGAAAGCTGGTGGGCGGTGGGGGTGCTGAGATCCTGTGAGGAATTTACAAGAAAGTCAAGAGAAAACAGGTTGCTCTTTTCTCAGTATTTGAAGTCTGTAAGAAACAACATGGACCTTCTTCCCCAAGGGTCCAGGCCTTCCATCACTTCCTTTATCTCCCACCGGGCCAGTGGCGCCCTGGAAGAAAACAGGAAACATAGATACTGGTGTTGCAATAATTTTTACAAAAGCTGTTAGATTAGTTTTGCTTTTCTTCGTGTCCTTTCCAACTCCCCCTCCACAAGAGACCAGCCACCCAGGGAGGAGAGACATCTGGGCTGAAACCAGGTGCTGGAGGTGATAGTCCTGGTCAGATGACCCTAAGTCATCATCTGCAGGGACACCACGGTCCACAGTGGGCCTCAGTGAGAAACGGAAAAGGCGCCCTTGTCTCGACACACATTATTTCTGAATGTGGCGAGTTTGCTGTAATGCACTGATTTTGTTAGAACAAGACATGGTGGTACCATTGCCACTTCTGTGCCCTGCGCCATCCACACTTGCAAAATGGTATGCGGAACGTGTTTCAGTTTCCCCATCTGCAAAGGGGGACCTTTTCCAAACACACTGGGAAGATAACAGAGCAAACACAGGGCTCGCTTGCCTTCTGAGCTCTTGCTATTTGCGTGGAAGGACTGAACAGATTCAGCTCGTTTTTCATAGGAATCCCTCACCATCCAAACTCTCATTACTCACTGTCAGAAACGTGGGAAGCACATAGCTTCACAGGTGAATTTGAAGCTGAACTTAGAAACCAAATAAACTTGGGAAGTGAGGGAGCTTTGCAGAGTCCATTTCCAATATCCGTAGTCAGTGGAGGTAGGCACGGCACTGATCATTTTTAAAAGTTAGAAAAACCAGAGACATGGACCAGGCTTGGAAACGTTCATGAGTCAGTGAGATCTACCTGCTTTCAAATGCTTTCTCCCGGCTGATGAAGTGGGTCTGTGCTTTCCAAGTAAAACCCCAGGGAAGGAGAAAGGGGAACACTTAAGCTATGGTCAAGGAATCTGAGTTATTTACCCCCAGTTTGCCCCAAGCTAATCCCCAAACAAAATACTGCATATGTAGATCATATAAAATAAACTCTATGTGAAGATGTTCTTGAAGAAAGAGGAAAATGAAGCTTGGAGACCCCGGACGGTACCGTCTGAGTCACTCACCCGAGGTCCTTTGTGACCCTGGTTCCCCTTCTCGCCTTTCGTGCCCGGAATTCCATTTAACCCCTTTGGCAGTAACAAAAGAAACATCATGCAATGAAGTCAGTGAACACGGACTTTCTTCATGAGTGCTTTGAATCCCCCCTCGCCCCATGGAAAAGCACTGGTGCAACCCTTCACGCAGCCTTTGGCTCTGAGATTAAGCACGTCTCAGGAGAGGAGTTGAGGGGAGACCTGGACTCAGAGGACCAGCTCCTGTGAAGGGATTCCCTGCCTGGGTATCAGCTCTTCATCCCTCTCCAACAGGGAGAGATGGAAAAGAGAATAAAAGGAAAAATAAAGCCTGTAGAAGAAGGAAGAGAGACACAAACAATCATCAGAAGGATTCCTTTGATGGGGCAGGTTCCTTGGGCCAAATAACTTAACAATGTGTAAAATTAACACCAAAGGACATTTCCCCAGCAGATTCCTATTAGAGGAATTAAAGCAGATTTCCTGCCACATTTCCCATCAAATGCATGGTTCCAATATGGTTCTCTCACCAGAAGGAAAAACCGGAGGTGCTGGTAATGTGTCTCACCCCCGAAGCACCAGCTGTAAAATGTCCCCGGTGCCCAGGCCAGTGGTGGGAGGAGCCCCTGGGCCAGCTTGGTTCACTGTCCAAGCAGCAGAGCTAGTAACACCCCTCTGCCTGCGACGCCTGGGGATGGGCTAAGCTGGTCCCACGGTTACTCGCTCCGGGAAACACCAGCCCCACTCAAGAGAATTCCCAATTTCAGCTCAGTGTTAAGAACCTAGGAGAACAATGAACCTCTGGAGAGGTCTTAGGATGGACACATCTATGCAGGCAGGGGCCTTCCAGACAAGTCCAGGCTCAGGGGGCCCCAGCAGGACCCCAGGAGTACCCACGTGTTGCAAAGCGCATCTCTAGGGATGACCCCGGCATGTTGCTGACCTGGATGAGAAACAGACCCGTCCCGCCTCCAGCGCCCAGCTCACTAATGATATGACCAGATGGCTCGCGTAAAGCCCTACGGGGGACATCCCAGAAGCAGTGTCACGCCCTGGGAGGTCAGCTTTGGGTGAGCTGAACAACTCTTCCCAATTCCTAACTTTCCTTCATGGGGAGGGGGGTGTCTGTGTGCAGGACTTCTCTAAGTAAAAAAAAAAAAAAAAAAAGACAATTTGTTGATCCTGAAACTGGTTCCTAATATAGTATCAAAGTCTTAATAATTCATTATTGCTAAAACGCAGACACAATATGAGATGCACACAAAAGCATGGCCTTCCTCTACCAGTGAGCTGCGAATTTTGACAGTGCAAAATCACCCACTCACAGTGAGAAATTCAGACTCCCAGAGACGTGGACCTTGGAGGAGGGCGGGGGCTGCTTAAAATGTTCTGTCGTTTATTTTTATCATAATACACCTTCCCATCTCCCCATCAGAATAACAGCATCGTGCATCAGTATTTATAAATACTCCAACACACCTGTGGACCTTGTAATCCTTCGGGTCCCAGTGCGCCTTGAGGTCCAGGGTTCCCAGGTTGTCCCTGAGGGATGAGTTTTCAGGGTTAGAATTCTTTCCACATGGTTTCCATGTAGATTCTCTATCTCTCTTCTTTTTTTTTCAGATTTGCATAGTTATTTTTTTTAATTGAAGTAGAGTCAGTTTACAATGTCCTGTCAATTTCTGGTGTACAGCATAGTGTTTCAGTCATACATGTACATAAGTATATTCCTTTTCAGATTCTTCTTCATTATAGGTCACTACAAGATACTGAATAGAGTTCCCTGTGCTGTACAGTAGGACCTTGTTGTTTATCTATTTTACATATAGTAGTTAGTATCTGCAATTCTCGAACTTCCAATTTATCCCTTCCTATCTCCTTCCCCCTCCTGGTAACCATAAGTCTGTTCTTATGTCTGTGAGTCTGTTTCTGTTTTGTAAATTAGTTCATTTGTGTCTTTTTTTTTTTTAGATTCCACACATAAGTGATATCATATGGTATTTTTCTTTTTCTTTCTGGCTTATTTCACTTAGAATGACAATCTCCAGGTCCATCCACGTTGCTGCAAATGGCATTATTTTGTTCTTTTTTATGGCTGAGTAGTATTCCATTGTAAATACACCACAGCTTCTTTATCCAGTCATCTGTCGATGGGCATTTAGGTTGTTTCCATGTCTTGGCTGTTGTAAATAGTGCTGCTATGGACACTGGGATGCATGGGTCTTTTCGAATTAGAGTTCCCTCCAGATATACACCCCGGAGTGGGATGGCTGGATCGTAGGGCAAGTCTATTTTGAGTTTTTGAGGACTCTCCATACTTTCTCCACAGCGGCTGCAGCACAGAGTTTCTCTTTATGGTAGCTCGTGCTACAGTGCGTGGTACCCAGAAGCTGTTCTGTCCGACTCTTGGTCGTGTCCCACTTTACCTAGGAGTATATTCTTCCATACCATCTAAGAATTGATCTCTTGGTCATTTCTCATCTTAATACAGAATTTCACTCCCTTACAGTCACCGCCCAGGGCATGGGCAGAGCTCAGACTGTGGGACTGCATAGGTGCCCGGTCTCTGAGGTGTCTGTGGAGGGGGGGGTGCTGCCTGAGGTCAGGCCCATCCTGTGCCTGCCAGCGAACTGATGGACACTCGGACCCCCTGGGCAGTGGGGCTCATGTCCAGGGCTCGGTGCTTCCCACAACATCCCTGCAAACGCTCCCTCACTGGTGGTACCATCTACACGTGAGACATCTCCTTGGCCCCACCACCCACAGAGGACAGGAAGGAAAGGATACTCACCGGGGCACCCTGGGTCCCCCGTTGGCCTTCTCGTCCCTGGATCAGAAGAGACAAAGGGTTAGCATATAAGTATCTGGAAGGAGGCTCCCTAGAGGCAAACAGGCAGACAGAAGTAACAGGCAGCACAGAAATCACTTCCCCGAGGCACTTTCTGAAGACACGTTTTCACACTGGGCACTTAATTACCAACCAGCGTTTGGGGGACCGATCGCAAACCAATCTGACAGTCATTACAGACTCCTTTCTAGCCTGACAACTCTGACAATGACCCAGGAGGCTGTTTGGAGCATCAAATCATCCCCACGCACCTGTCTTGTCCCTTTCTGTCTTGGGCCAGTCCCACAAGGCACCGTCTACTGACGCAGGCTTGCTGTGTGACTAAGCTGTGCCACACCCCTCTCTCTCTGTCCTGGGCTCCTGATCACGTCTTAGGGAAGAGTGACAATCGTTACACACAGTGCTTCCTACAGGCCCCCTGGGGTCAGTCTCCGTGGAGTTCTCCAAGGAGGAAATGGCTCATGGGGTCTGCTCAGCTCTGCACTGGTCCAAATGCCACCGTCTGGTTCAACTGTAAAAAGCCAGTCTGAAGCCGAAATCCATCTGCATCTCTCCAGAAGTCATGTCATGTCACCATCGTCGGCTGAGGCTCTCCACTTAGTGGCTGTCCCTCCTTCCCAGAGGGTAGCCAAGCAGGAAGAAGATTCATGTCCCGAATCCCAACATTCTCCCTCAACGGCAGCGATGAGGACTATGTCCTCACCCTCACCCACCACCCTGCCTCTTTGAGCGAGCCGTGGACCACCTCAACGTTCCTCAACATCTCAGCATCACTCAATACATTGTGCGTGGTGATCAACAGGTGGGATTATTTTATGTGCGAAGCAAATCCTTAAAAAAAAAAACTTATTCATTTGTTCCGGAAGGTTGCCATGGAAATGGTTATTTCAGAACGACTGTTTTTTCAGCTGCCCAGCTTCTGAGGTTCCTGAGAATTAACTATCTGACCAAATGTCCCCTCCACCAGGTTGGCCGATGATCAGAATTCCTCCACTGAGGCTCTGCCCCATGATCCAGGTACTCTTTGCATTAAAGTGCAAATACCCTTTGGGAGAAGTTACCCACTATAATTCATCAGCTGTCTGTATCTTCATGTGACTCACAGGACTCCTGACAGGTGAAAGCAGAGATGAAACAGTAAATAAAGTTTGAAACCATGGTTTCCATGATGTCATAATTCTGTCTCCATTAAAGAGCAAGGAGAGGAGGAGGGTGCAGCTCAGTGGTAGACCAGGTGCCGAGCCTGCACGAGGTCCTGAGCTCCTTTTATGTTTTCTTGGCGTTTGGACAGTTTACAATGTTGCATCAATTTCTAGTATACAGCAAAATAGACCAGCCATGCGTGTACATGCATATGTTCCTTTTCATATTCTTTCTCATTATGGGTTACTACAAGATTATAAACATGGTTCCCTGTGCTGTACAGAAGAAACTTGTGGTTTATCTATTTAATATATATTAGTTAGTATCTGCAAATCTCGAATTCCCAATTCATCCCTTCCCACCCCCTCTCCCCTCTGGTAACCGTAAGTTTCTTTTCTGTGTCTGTGAGTCTGTTTCTGTTTAGTTAAAAAAAGTTCATTAGGCTTTTTTTTAGATTCTGCATATAAGAAATCTCATATGGTATTTTTCTTTCTGTTTCTGGCTTACTTCACTTAGAATGACGACGAACAAGTCCATCCATGTCACTGCAAGTGGTATTATTTTATTTTTTATGACTGAGTAGTATTCCATTGTATGAATATACCACAACTTCTTTATCCAGTCACCTGTCCATGGGCATTTAGGCTGTTTCCATGTCTTGGTTATTATAAATAGTGCTCTGTGAACACTGGGGAGCACTGTCTAGGTGAGCAGTCTAGAGCCTGGTGTGAGACACTCCAGGTTCAAACCCAGCTCTGCCTTAATAGTTCTCCTAATCCTGGGTGCTTTACTCAGGGTTCCTTTATTTTTCTCATCTGTAAAATGTATATAATAATAGTATCTACCTTAGAGACTTGTTATGAGGATTCAATGAATTAATATTTGAAAGAGATTTATTTGATCAGGACTGGGCACAAAATGGGGCTTTCGAAGTATAAATGCTATTATTTATAAGCCTTCTTTGTGCCTGGCAGGCCAAAAGCAATGGGCCTGGGGTGTGGTTTCAAATGCTCCGGTTCTTCGTACATTGAAACATTGCTTTGTCAATAACTGGGAAAACAATGCATTTACGTGAGCTGAAATTCTGCCACGCAGGAGGGGACGTCTTAGGTTTGCTCGTGTTCTTAGAATCTGTCATCCATTTAAGGTCCTGTGACTCTCATAGACATTTCTGGTCTTCCCTGGAATGGTGAGGGAGGGGTAGAAAGGCTGGT